AGAAACGGGTTCCTTTTTGATGACTCACGCATACACACCCCCATTTAAGAACGCGTTTGCTTTTCCGCTCGCCCGCCAACCTGGAAAAGGTTATCTGCGTTGTGTTTTACGGCGTCTAAACAGCGCAAACCGAGAGGTCTTTGGGGTCAGGATGAGTCACAATTAGCCAAAGATGCCGCATAGATTCGCGGGCTTTATTCAAATAAAACGTCGCGATGAGTATGTTTTTCTTTACGCCAAGATGACGCGGAGATATTGCAAGCGTGTGGAAAAGGTATGTCGTGCCTTTATGGTTGTGTCTGCGGCGTAACGCATCATTAACCACAGTTTAAAATTTTCGAGCTCGGAACATACGCTTCAATGCGCATTATCCGCTTATTATAAATGTAAGTTGTTTGTTCCTCACTCGTTTCTATTCACGTCAAATTGGTAACGATTTGCTAAGGACGAGAGGGGAATAAATCCGGAACTGACATTACAGACCAACCCTTTCATAGCCAGGCGCATGCGTATCAGTTTCAGTCGTCATATAATAATACTACGCAAAAATGGACACTTGTGCCATTCTTTTCAAAATAATTGGTTGCTGCAATATGTTCAAAATTAGATATTCGAAAATATCAAAGAGAAAAATGCTATATTTTCTTAAGTATAGTCAGAATCGTTTCTTCGCAAATATTAGTGGCCTAGGCTACAATAAGATAAAAGGACTGTCAATCAAAATTGGCCACAAATATAATTTTTCTTCTCTCATCTCCAAACTAACCAATTGTACTTTAGTCGCGGGTTTGGGAAATGAGTGTATCTTAATTTCTTTGATGTTTTCATATGTTCAGTAAATTTTAACCAGTGACGTTTATCATTTCTGATGTTATTGTGAGTTTTTGCAAAAATGTACCCAAAACTAATAGCTGTTGAGAAAGTATAGTACGCAACACGGTGATAAACGTCTTCGTCGATTATGAAACACTGGCTCCATTACGCTCTGCGCGTGGAAAAAAGAACTCGTTACTAAAATCTCATTTAACAAACTTGTTCAAACTATTTTGCCGTTTTGCTTAGTATTTTTACCATACAAAAATGGAAAATACTATTTTTGAGCAGTACGAAATACAAGATACGTCGGTAAGAAGTACGGACTAGATAGCTCAGCAATCTAGGTTGTAAGGTTTGAATGTTTAAATCAAGATTGGTTTGAAGTTTTCTTTCCTAACACTTACCGCTTATGAGCTATCTTAGCAGTACGCCTTGCAGATGCACCCTAAGTACTGCTTGACAATCGATTTAAATTTGGATTTGTAAGGTAAAAATTTGTTTTTCTACCCCCATCTGTAAAATTATTAATTACACAACCGATCTAGCGTGCGGGAAGAGTCACTTTACCACGTCAGTTTCGTTTCCCATGGATCCGAGCCACTTCGGACATTCCCGGGATTTTACCGCACGAGTTTGGGAGCAATCAAAGGTCTTGGGAGATTTTACCGCACAGTTTGAATTTTGACGTTTGTCAATTCTGACGGTCATGTCAAAGAATGTATTCGTGTTGTTTTGCGAAAATGTACCCAAAAACTAACGGTCGTAGAAAAAGTGTAGTATGCAAAACGTTTGGAAAACTTTTTAAGTCACTCGTTTATTAAACACTCGCTCCGCTGCACTCCGCTCGTGCATAATATACTATAATAGTATATTATGCTAGACGAGTTTACTTGGCAACACCGGAAAGGAGCGAAGCTAATGTTTAATAAATTTCTTAAGGTATTGGATACTATGCTTCTTCTGCGACCGTTAATTTTTAGGTACATTTTTGAAAACTAACACGAACACATTTACTGATATGACAGTCAGAATTGACAAACGTCAAAATTCAAGCCGTGAGGTAAAATCTACGAAAACATCCGTAATATCGCGAAAATGTCCGAAGTGGCTTGGATCCGTGGGATAAGAAAGTCACGTGGTAAAGTGACGCTTTCTGCACGCTAGATCGCTGTATAATTTGCAATTTTACAGAAGCGAGTAGGAAAAATATTTGAAACCACCTAATTCCGCGTGTAGGACATTTTTGGAAATGTGTAGTACGTAAACTAAAACTTCGATTATACGGGGTGTGTATATCAGTTGCAACAAAGTCCTTAACATGAACTTTTCTCCTTTTTAGAGCAAGTTCAGTAGTTTTAATTTTTCTCTATTTCCCTGCATCATTATTCAAAATTGAAATATTTTTCTAAATCTCAAACAGAGAAAATTGCCCATTCCCGTTGTTTGCTATTATTAATGGATTTTAAACATGTCGACCCATTTATGTTTCGTCATTGAATTTCTGCCAGATTTTTCGGAAATTGAACATCAGTGGGAGCGTCGATGAAACGGACACTATTGGAATCTTTCGTCCTTTCACAAAAAAATGGCATTGCGTTCCGCAATTCGTAGAAAACGCCGTTAATATTAGGAAAGCACATAAAAGATTTGTGAGAAAAACTGACGCAGGTATTTCACCGTTCGCGATATATGTGAAGAACATACATACAAGGTTTAATTGCTACTGCCTCTAAATTTGGTTAAAAATGCTCCGGTGTTCGCCGTGGCAGTTCCTGCGTGTTCATTATAAAAGCACTGTTTGGAAAAGTGTACGTGTTTCGATAAAAAAAAAGAATAAACGATTCTCGGTGCATGACGGAATGATTAAATTGCTTGTAATAGTAAAAACTTACAAATAAAGATTTGTTGCAATGTAGCGAAACTCTAATCCCTCCTTCCCTTTAAAATGTAACTACTCATGTCGAGAATTTTACTTAAATTAATTAACCATAAATATTAAACTTAAAAGAAAAGTTACTAGTTTGCACCGGAGTCTGCTTGAAATATTTCACAATTTTCCACATATTTGATCAATAATCAGTCAACACATGTTCGGTATGGTCCGAGAAATTTTGGTCAATTTTTGTTTACAAAAATCAAAAACGAAATGAAAAAATATTTATTTGACTTCATGATTGATTATGAATTGAAACCTAAAAAAGAGTCCGCACCCTAAAGAAAGAGAGCTGTTAACAGCAACCCATTGAAAAGAATGGCCAGATTTGTACATACATTCTTAGCAAGATGTTCAATTAATACTTATTTGGTAATAAAAGCAACCAAAAAAAAGAAAATTAATTTAGTTATATGCATAGATAAAAATTTGGTAACTGTTTTTATGTTACAATTATTTTTTTTAAGTCAAGTTTATGTTTTGTACCTGTTTCATGAATGTGATCAAATTTTGCACGCCAGCCGACTGCTGACCATACAGATCTTTGGCCTGTCGACTTATATTTATATACGGCATGCAGCGTTGCCAAACAAATTTTATGTTTCCCGAAAGTTGGTTTATTTTGCATGTTTCTAAATGATTTGTTGATTTGTTGATTTATCTTTGGTAATGTCACGAACAATAAGTTGTACTACTTACAAAGAATAAAATTGTAAACATGTAATTAGTGTTTACGCACCGTTGACAAAAAGTATATAAATAATAATAATAGTAATAAAAATAGGAAATAATTTGTCGAAATAACAAACTGAATGCCCGTCAAACACTAACGTCGATAAAATTCGTTCAGAAGAAAAGTGCTGTTTCATTAATTTAATTTAACGATTCGCAGACAAAATGCCTACAAGGATGACGTAACGACAATTACCTAGAGAGAGGGGTCACGGGGTTATCTCCTTACAGTTTGCGGTGATGTATATTACGTTTACACTGCCAATCAATAATACTGTTAAAGTGGGTTAGTTATATATAGAAACAACATAAAAGATCGTCTATTTACTAGATCTCGTTGATTTGTGGGTTGTAGATGCCGACAGATAAGATTATAAAACTCCGTTTATTTATTGCTTAAATCGGATGCGGATGAAATTTATTGACATTTCGAAAGAGTGGCATAATTTACAGCCAACAATTAACCCGCTTGCCGATTACCTGAAAGCATGCTTTTGCGACGATTGTTTTCATCAAATATGTCCGGGATGAGCTTTGCAATGTTGAGAGTAGATAGTAACCTTATATACAGGGTATTTTGTTTACACTGTCCTTGTCGTTTATATTAGATATTGATCATTCACACAAATGATACTATAAATAAATAAAATATATAAGGAATTATTTGCATCTTTTCTAACGTTGAGTTTAATTGTCTAAGATGACATAAATTAGAACTAAAACTTGCTCTTAAGTTGACGGATCACCCCGTACCACGAGGGGAAACGTTCAATTAGGAGGAATTTCCCAGTCGCATTGATGGACTATTGTTAAAATTATACGAAAAACAAAAGCACAGATCTTTTGTTTTTCTTGGAATCTCGTTCGTTAACAATGTACCGTTCCAAATTGTCCCAGCGTGACAAATTTATTATTGATGCAATTACTATATAAATAACTTGTTTTGAGTTTTCAATGCCTACATTCTTGTATATATCGTGAACGATGGTAAACGTCACACATGTAAGTTACAAGTGTATAAAACGTAACATTCTTTTGGTAGTGAATAGGTTTTGCCGTCGTTACTGATGTATCTGCAAATTGTATGGTAAAACTTTATTCACAGAGTTCGTAATTTATCGAAATTTGTAGTTGAAATGACATCACAGAGACTTATAATGAAAAATTATTAAAGTTAATTTCAATCAAAATAATGATAATGCCTTATAATAATATGCTTTTGTTTTCGATAATTATAAAAGTTGTAAAATACATAGATTACAATTACTTAGGTAAAATAAGAGTTAAATTATACTAATAGATATTATAGGAATATAGAGAACCTTCTACTAATTAGAAAATTGAGAAAAATATAACATTTGGGTTGAAATACTATTGAATAAAAAAGTCAACAAAACTTCAGTTCAGTTATTAAACTCATGATTTGAAAATTCAAAAAAAAGATTTCCAATAAATTAATAGTTTTTAGACTATTAGTTCATAATGCAGACTATCCACTAAGACGTGCATTCTCTTTCAGATATTTGTCCTACTCCTAGTCGTACTAGTAACATTGATGGGTGAAATCTCCGGTAAACCCAGCGTTGGAGGAGGATATGGAGGGGGCGGATATGGCGGAGGAGGCTATATCGGCGGTGGTTCCATCGGTGGTGGTGGTTACGGAGGTTATGGAGGAATAGGTGGAGGACGTGGACATTACGGCGGTGGAGGTGGATATGGCGGTGGTTACGGTGGAAGACACGGGTGTTCCCATGGGAAGTAACATTGATAGAAATCACGATATTCAATCGCAAAATAAATGAGGCTTAAATATCGTATTACATCATTCCTTTAAAAACCTATTCCTTCACTCGAAAAAGCGTAAAAACATTTGAATAGAATAAAAATAAAAATAGAGGACCATTTTTTAGAGTCTCAGCTATAAGGACTCAGTATCCTCTACGAATTGCAAGACATGAAAACTCTGGCTACGGAGTATTGTCCCCAACAATTAATAAAATTAAATGAATGTTTTTTTTTACCTAGATTATTATAACATTTGGTTGTGTAACTATAGTTGCACTTTGCTTTGCCAATATTTTCGTGATTTCTATGTACTTATATTTTATATTCTCATATTTATACCCACCAATGATTCCACTATTTCAAATTGTACAGGCAGATGTAACCGGAGGTACTTTATCACTCTCAAATACTCTTCCTGGAATAAAAAGTTATTTCCGCGATATACTGAAAGTTTGCAATAAAATGTTTTAAAGATGTCACAGTTAAGCTCCCAAAAACGTTATTAACAGAAAAATAGCATACTGCATAGTACATTTTTAAATACAGTTCGCAAAGAAGGCTTTGGCCTTTGACAATTAAGAACTTAAATCGATTTTTTAAATACACGTTTACTACTTTAAAATTTGATTAAATTGAATTAATTAATTTAAAACTATACTGTCACTTTCTCCACCTTTGAAACTAACCTGGATCTACGGATCTTAGAGAGCATGGAATTTTATTGATTTCTAATTGTCAGATAATGGCATTTTTTGCTAATAGCGCTGCAAGCGGAATTAAACAACGACGCAATTGTAATCCCATGAAAGCGGCACCCGTTTCATTAAAAAGAGTTCAGCTACCTAAACGAATATTAAGGCAGTCGCTGTATCGAATGTTCGCTAAACAACTCTACCGAGTAATCACCATAATAAATTAATTGCCTTGGGTGCCATTACCTGTTCTCATATAAACATTTAGCGTCATTAAACACCTAGTAACTTAAAACTAATGTGAATCAGTCTAATGAAGGCCTCATATATCACATCTCCCGCATTATGCTCGCCTTTAATGAGGGGTTCTGATCGGCTGATTCGTGATCCGTAGCTGAACTTCACACGCACGCGGGCTAATCGGATCCTCCATCATTCTTCAGGCGCCTTCAGGCTTAAGTCGTTACAGAGCCGAAATGAGAATGCGGAATCTCAAGCGAAACAATCTACAGAATGGAAATAATTAGATCTTCGACATGGGTGCCGGTAAACACAAAGAAATCAATATCGAAAGTAGCGTTACGCGATAAAAGTGAGTGAATGATATTTTACTCATCGGCACGTCCATAAGAACCCATTGCTTGAATTTAATATTCCCCATTGCATATTTATGTAGCAAGAGTCCCTCCCTACGACTTTTGGTAGATACCGTCTGACATTGCAACGAAGTGAGTTTTGAGTTGTTCTACTAATTTACACCTAAAAGTAACGTTTGCAACAAAAAAAAAAGTATAATAGTAAAGGCAAATGACAGGTATAATTATTATTTTAAATTTTTATAGCACCTATATTGAAGACCGACATTAAAACCGTTTTGTTTTAATTAAAAACGATAAGGAACAAAACTTAAATGAAGGTATGTGTTCTATCCCCTGTTAATACGAGAAACTAATGAAATTTAAATTTGCAATGACGGGGATAATTAAACAAGGTGGATATAAGCAAAGATATGGGTAAAATTGTTTAGATAAATTTCAGTGATACTTTTCCGCGTTTCAATTTTTTAGACCCGCACCTCAAATTTGCATACAATAGAAAGACAATTTTATTCAATGAAAGTAATATGACAGCGACGTTACTGCAAGTAGTTTATTGCAATAATAAATATAATGATAATTATGCATGATTATAATTATATCAATTGGCACATAATTGTGATATTAACTGTTCTAAGACAAGCAGCAATACAGCAGATGAACTATAGTCGTTTTCAGTCCAGAGAAATAAAACAGAGCTCTACAACTTTTTTCTAGTATGTTATCAGCTTCCCATAGTCTCCCTCCTATTTCAATTAAATGTCCGACAAACTAACTCCGTTTTTTAAAATCCACTGTCTTTATTCCCAACTGTAAGACTGTTTCAATGTCCCACATTTTAAAAATATTGTTAAACCTTGCCGCAAACCCTATCAGTTGCTCCCTGTGATATATTTCGTTTTGATGCTATTTCATAGACAGCAAATTTCGTACAAAGAGGTTTATTCAAATTTACAATCTTCAATAGCTCCTTCTGAAATTTCCTGGAAGCAGTTTTCAAAAATATCAGCAATGTGAGTAATTATTAACTTTTTCCTTAGAGTGCTTTTATTGCAATGAACCTCCTGTTTTACCATTTTTATCATTTTCTCTATTAAAGGTGATTTTCTGTTTTGAGATTTTTCGTCAGGAAAATTCATTTCCTTTAAAATTTTCCACAATCTCTTCTTACCTATAGGTGGAAAAAAATCATTCTGGTATTATTTTGTCCAGGGTTATTATCCTGCTAATGGCAGTCTTTTCATCCTTATTTATTACAGATTCTTTTCTTCCTGTACTTCTCTTTAGCGAACTAACCTAAAAGTAAAGTAAAAAGTAAGAAAGTAAAAAAAATAAAATGAAACTGCGATTGCTGCTAGTCTTACAGATAGAAAATTGGAGTGATGAGGAACAGATTGACGCATTTAACATAATGATTTATTATCACAATATTTAAGCTTCAAAAAAAGGAAGGGCAGCATATAATTTTTCAGAAAATATCGAAATAAAATTCTCAGACGCATTTTTAAGAAACTTAATTTCAAAATACATCATGAAAGTTTGTGTAAGTAAATAAGAGTCGCTTTTAGCGATATGATCTTCGGCAAAACTACCTGCAACATTGTAGCGTAACGACTTTTTCTAAAGCTGTGCCGGTTTATAGAAAACATACGAGAGGTTATTGAGCATTTTTTATTTGATTGGAATTCCCATCACATAGCGATTCGTAAACGCGCTAACAATTTTAAGTTTATCGTCAAGAATAACCGCTGGGTGTATATAATAAGCATTCTGAATTTTTTAAATTAAGTATTCAAAACTAATCCTCGTTGTGTACCGATGTATTAGACTTGATGGTCATTACGACCATTTTAAGGTGTCCCATATATAAACCAAATGTCAGCCGGATATAATAGGCATATTGTAGGAAACTACCAACCAACGAAATCAAATAAAAAGTAATCGCCTACAAATTCCATTTTTGACACCTTCATAATTGGGTTTGATAGTGCTGAATCAAAACACAAAAAGGCCGCTTCTTTAAAAACTGTGGTTCACAATTAACATAATTAAATTATTACTGAGTAATTTCGTTTCCCCTAATTAAATTTGGAATAAAACGATACTTGAAAGCGACATTTTATGATGTTCCCTAAATTTTGTTGATCTTTGCTGGTTTTTATTTTCCTTTCGACCAATAATATTAAAATTTTAAATCAGAGCAGCTGAAGTGAACCGGGACATCACACAAATTATTAGTATTTTTAATATTGATATTGTTTAAAACCATAGTTCATTTGGTGCGTCTTTATGGATTTATCCGAAAGTTCAACATTACGGAAAAAGCTTACCAGTTTCAAATCCAAAATAAAACAAATTGCGCTGTTGATGGATGTCAACTCAAGAAATAGCAGTTATCATCATAATGGTTTTATGTTTACGGTTCTTGCAGTAGACTCAATTGAAATTACATATTTTGCTTTTAATTGTACCTCGTCTTCTACAAAATAGCAGCTTTCGCATTACACTTATACGTTAAAAATAGAAAACGAAACGAACAAAACGGAATAGTGAACAAGTTGTAGGCGCGTATGCATAAGAAAATTGCTCGTTTATCTGCGTTTTAATAGCAAATCTAGCATTTTTAATAAAAAATCATTTATTCAGTTGATTTGTTGGGCATGATTTCATTTCGTTGATTTAGTTTTGAAGTTTCATGTTAATTACCTGAATGATTGTGAACATCTTTTAAATACACATTGTTAAATTGGTGATAAATTTGGAAAAATATAAAATCTCAAACTTTGTTTTTAATTTATGTAATGAATATTTAGATATAAGCGAAAAAACTACAAATAATAAAAATAATTTCTTTTATTTCCTAGTTTCAAACCCTATTATTGCAATAATATAGTTTTATAAATTAATAAAATAACGTTTTTAAGATATAGAGGGCTATAAAAAAATGACGTGACCAAAAATATGACGTTGGTCCCCCAAAAACATAGACCTGTGTTATTAATGATTTATAGATCACAATTTACTTTTTATAGTTATTTAAGTTTAGGTACACTCCTACAATTTAAGGCTCGCTTACAAGTGCGCCTCAAGTGGTAGTTTTAAAAGTCTGATGTGACCTTCAGCTTTTAGTGCATTTTTGGATCATCAGTTTCATTTGCAATTTATTTATTTTTCATGCGAAATATTTCCAGCAGATTTAGGCACGCGTTTTTTGGCAAAGTTCCTAGCGTAATCGCTATCCGATCTGAGTTTGCGATAGAAAGAAAAAACAGATCACGCTCGGTCACAGTAGCGTTTACACTTAATATAAAGAAAACGTTGCCTCCTCAACTTCTCATTACGAAACATTTTTGGTTGTTTTTTGGTGGCCCCAAAGAATTCCCTCCCTTACAATACCAGGTAATTAAGCGTGGATATAACTGCAACAAAGGTGCTAGTCATTTAAGATCTTTTGGCGGTAACATTGTGATTTAGCAACTTGCTTTGCTACTGCACCTGTAAAAAAGGTAAAACGAGATGCGATCACAGTGGCGCCGTGTCCAAATTATTCCAAGTTTTTGCAGTATGTTTTACAGAAAAAGATCTCGAACAAATCTTGTTTGCTGTACATTTACAGTTCACAAACTTAAAAAAAAGAAAGCCAAACTAATGACTAAATAACCATACGAATTAAATTGCCACATTTCAGTTAAATTAATTTCATATTATATTAATAAATCACAAACA